CGATTGCTTCACTTGAGTGATTTCTAGCCTGACTGTCGACATGTACACATCTCTGATAGCATAATTTTTAGAAGTCCATAAACTGACCAAATACATGTTTGAAAAGTAAAAATTCAACAAAAAATAGAACTATACCGAGAATTAAATTATTTTTGAATGCATTTGCTGCAATATAGAAAATAATCTAACACGGAATACATACATGTACATCAAACACCCATGCAGGTAGAGAAAACGCGTCAAACGCAGTGATAAAAACATTTACCTGACTACTGCTATCGTTACAGAGATGTGCACATGTCGAAAGAATTATCCTATTTTACTTTTATTGAAAAATGCATCTCAGAAGTCATGTAATCCATTGCTAACTCAACAGTAAAAGATGCTTGGACACACGTGGCCCATGCCGATCATTTTATTTGGTCAGGGAAAATATCAAAGTTTGAAAGCTCAGTGGGGTTGATTGAAGAAAAAGTATTTTTTTCAAAAATAAACATTACTCTTGTCTGTACATATTGTGAATAAAATTTACGATTAAGTACATGGTTTAACTTCATCAAATTCATAAAAAAGCAGGCATTATTACATTTGTACGAATCATTCACCTTTTGAAGATATTTTCCCGTGATATGAAAGGGGGGGGGGCTGATAAAACATGCATAACACTCTCATAAAAATAATGTAAGAAAAACGTCTGAAACAGATTGGATTTCTTTATGATCAATTATTATCAAATAGATACTGTGTATTGGCTTTATCAGACCTAATATAATTTGATTTAAAGTTATTTATAATTTTATGCACCATGAAAGAAAAAGTGAGCACGTTCACATACCCCACGCTCCCTCAAAAGTCGAAGTGCTGAAATTCCCAGAAAAAAAATAAAGGAATCGTAAGTTCCTTGTAATATGCACATCTATGCACATTGTGTCCTAAATATCTGCAAAGTTTGACGAAATTGTGTACAGCGGTTTATGAGGAGTTGCACTGAAAAACTGCTCACCTCTATATTCAAGATATGGCCAAAATATAAATGTAACGGAAATTCCCGAAAAATAAAGAATTCGGAATTTCCTGGTGATGTGCAAATCTACAAACACATTGTCTCCTATAAATATCTGCAAATTTCGAAAAAACTCTTTACAGTGGTTTATGAGAAGTTGCGCTGACCAAAAAAAAAAAGACTGACTGACGGGTCACAAACATTATACCTCACGCGTGGGGTATAATAAACGAGTTCGATTTTTTGGTACAACGATAATGAAAATAGAATTTAATGTGAATTAAATTTTTAGACATAAATAATTAATGATTATTAGAAAAAGCATATAGGAAGAGAGTAAACTCCTCGTGAGAATTCCATATTCTACCTAAACAAGCTTTTTAAAATTCTCTTGTCTGTTGTCCAAGTTTGAGAAGATATTCGAGAGAGTTCCCAATGTTCCCATTCCTGTGATTTATATTTCACGTTTATTATATCCCCGCCTGAAAAGTGGGAGGTAATCGTTATGTCCATTCGTCTGTCTGTTACGCTTTGGGATACCCATCTCTTATCCGCAAATCCTCTTACACCACTTAGAGAAATTTAATGAAATTTTCAAAGAATCTTAAGTTTATTACATATTACCATTATGCACCTCCTATTTTACTTTTTGATCTGACACGTATGGGTTTAGCGAAAGATGGACTTTGCCATTATAACCATATGGGAGGCAGGGGGTATCATTTAGTGAGTTCATTGCTCATAATACATGTACGTCTAGTTTCTCTTTCAATTTGGGCGTTTGGGTAAATTTCCTGTCCAAAGTAAAATTATTTTTCAATTTATGAAGTTTCAGACATCCCGCCTGAAAAAATTCCTTGATCTGTCCTGAGGCATAATAAATGGTACAGCGCAAAGTGCGTAGGATTTAATACCTATCATTGCCCCAACGGGTGGTTACAGAGAGAGAGAGAGAGAGAGAGAGAGAGAGAGAGTTCAATATAAAAAAGAATAAATAATAATTATCAGTATTCAACCAGTGTCAAGTATCCCTACCCCAGCTTTTAAAAATTATCTCCCAAATTCGCCTACAGAAATTATTTATATATATATATAAAAGATACCTAGACTATCAGGCAGGGATACTGAAATCTCGAAATACTTCCTGTAACAACATAATTATAAAACAGTTACATTCCTCAAAATGCACATACTTTGTGGTCGGAGTGACACATTTTAAAAAAATCTCAAAACTGAATTCGGCAGAAATGTGTCTTTCAAGAATATTTAATAACGGTCATGTCAATTATTTTTGTATGCCCCCCCCCCGTCCAAAAAATCAAATGCCTAAATGTCAATCTGAACAGGGTATGACCTTTCTCCGTGTGTGTATGTGTTAGAAAATGTATAGATATTAAATGTATAGATGTACCCATAAAAATTTGCATTCTGGTTAATTGCTTTTAAGAGTTGAAGTAAATTATAGCCGTACATCAAATTACTTTGTTTAGATTTGAGATTAGTACTAAAATAATCAGTTATAATTGACAAATGAATTTTGCGACGCAAACCAACTGCAGACTATATACAAGACTTTGTACAGAATCTATATTAGAACTACATGTAGATAAACAATTCACAATTATAGCTTATGAACATCAGTTATAATATCCAACCCCCCTTTCAGCCGCGCAAATACCAATACAAATAACTTCTCTTTCCACTTTTGATATTTTCCCAGACCAAAATCTGATCAGCACGGGCTAAGTGTATCGTCGTGCTAGTGTGTACGGAGTAATGACAATGTGTTTACTATTGAGCTTTTATGGAGTTTATTTCTTTTTTGTGATGCATATTTCAATAAATGGAATTCAGGGTGTATTTCACTTGACTTGTGCACATCTTCGAACCGATGCAGTAACCTTATTACCAGGTATGGGTACGTTTACAGCGTTCGAGGCGTTTTCTCGATATGCATCAATTGCATAGGACCTGCAAATCAAAGACGTTGGTTGTTTTGTTCCCTTCAAATGATATAATTTCAAAAATGTGTTTGCAAATTTTACAGCTTTTTATTTCAAGTTTATTCTGCATAAATTGGCGCACTGTAAAAATACGTACTCACCCAAACTTGCATTTTTTTTTCTTTTGATTCAAATCAATAATCATTCAAAAATATGATTATTATGTTGTTTATTTTGTTTTTGAAATGTCTTGATCACCTCAGGTGTTCTCATATGCTTTACCATCGGAGATGTGCACAAGTCGATACCCAATCCGAAAAAATCATTCAAGTGTAACGAGCGCATTGGGGTATACATCGTTACAATGAGACAAGGTATCTGAAAGAAATATGGCGGAACACGGCTAGAGTTGGTATGAAACAAGTCGTACATAGATGAAAATGTTGCGTTTTTAAGAATTCATGTCAGCTTTAATTTATGTTGTAAATGTTTTCTATGTGTTGTTTTTAAACTAATATGATAATCGGTTTAAGAGCTCTACAGAGCTCATGTTTAATGTTATGCTATGTAAAAATGCCGACTTTAAATAAAATTTACTTACTTACGTACAGAATAAATTAGATGGCGAAAAATAGAAATTTCGTATATCTTAATACATGTCATTGGTATTCATCCAGTTTAATTTTAGATTCGTTCTTACGATATGTAAGCTCCGCCTCTCATGCATACATAATGATCAATCAAGGGCAGGTATGTGTAAATGATCTCTATCTGGAAAACCGTAAGGACAAAAAAATGAAATTAGTTAATGTATTACAGTCTAAAATTATTTTTGACATTCAAATTGGGCGTCTAATTGACAGACCATTGTAGTTACTCAGGTCTCGAAAAAGAACCAAACCACAGCGTTAAGTGCAATAATTCTTTACGCTTCTTGTAGAAAAATATCCATCTCTGCCAATTATCGTAATTTAAAATCCCTAGGATGTATATGCTTCCTCTGTCGACCAGTCACACTTGCTGTGAGACCTATGTATTGAATAGTTAATTGATTTTTCTCCTCTAATATTGTAAAAAGGATTGGGGTTTAGCAGTGAATCTGAACTTTTTTTTAGTTGCTTTACGAAGGAGATGTCTTTAAATCCTCCATCGTCAACTTTTTTTTGTTTGTGATATTTCATTTCCACTGGTATCTGGTGTATATGTCTCCTAAATTATTCGATACTTAATAACACGCTCTGAGTATAAACATTTTTTAAACAGATGCATATTTCTGAAAAATAAGTTGATTTTACAGAGATTTTAACAACCCCGCTTAAAGTCAGCATTTCGTATTATTATTGAATTGTGTTAATTATTATCTGACATATTTCTTTTCAATTAATTATGTATTTTTTAAATTAAAAAAACTGACTATACTCCGTCTACCTGATTAATATCTAACTGTAGGATCGACGAGGGATGATTACTCCTCCAAGGCACCTGATATCCCATCTCTGAAATTTCCATGGTTCTGGGATATATGCCCTGATATCACATTCGTGTTTTTGTTTTTTGTTTTTTTTTTTTTTTTTTTTTTTTTTTATAAAAAATCAATCACTCTCGTTATCATCGTCTATATCGTTACACAAAGAAATGTAAACAAAGAAAATGTCTGTCGATTTCTTGATGTATACTTTCTAAATCTGATATCGGAATTGATAACAATTTTAATTGGGTGTTTAAGGTTTGAACGTTGACTTGAGAGTAAAGTATTTAAACAAATACATGTACTAGATCTAGAACATAAAGTAGGACATGAAGTAGGACAAAATATATATTTAAGTCAGCATTTAAATTACAAATACATAATCAAAATAATGGCCCTCATGAAATGATATAAAAAGTTTTACCATTTTCATATATCCATTAACATGATTAATTAGTTTAAAATTAAAGGTGAATCATACGTTTGTTTGTCTGATGAAATAAAAGAAGTGACAATGTTTTTCTGATTAGTAGAGACACTTCCTAAATAGAACGTGTAAAGGAATGCGGTCAAAAAGTAGAACGATGTGTGCGCGTTTATTTATATAGAGGCGAACATGGTCACTAATCATCAGTGAATTAAATACTGTACGAAGACATGGAGCAAAATGGCGATGGTAAACCGAAAAAGCCTATTATTTTTGACGGAATGGCATTGCCGCCATTTCCTCCCCTCGTAAAAGATGCAAAGGAAAGGTTTGAAGAAATCAGGGACCTGCCTTGTAGGGAAGACGATGTTTTACTGGTTATCTATCCGAAATCAGGTATTTATAGACATGTAGCTGTGCTAGTCATTAATTTTTGTTTACATTATATCGTGTTATCCACAATTGTTGGTATATGCAAACAACAGCATGAGCTAGGAAAAGTGCTTGTGACTTTGCTAAAGATTTAATAGACTTCTTTTTAACTTAAGATATGGTATACGTACAAAAAAATGACGATATATTAATATCTTTGTTAAGGTTATTTTAACAAATGATATTGGTAAGCAGACACGGTCAGTTCATGAAAACTATAAGTGCAGTCCTGGTGTGAAAATGATTGATGTAACGTTAACATAATCATGATAATTAAGATTCCCATTACAGGCATGATCTAAAGCAGTGTTAAGAATTTAGCATATCGATTAGATCTTGTTCAGTAGTTTCTTGTGTTTACACTTATGGATCGAATAAATCTTTTCTCTTGAGAAGAAGATTTTAAGTTTTCCCCATGTATCCCTTTATGAAACGGTGATCGCCTTATGTGGCCTCATATCACCGTTGTCATGATTTTTACAAACTACCTGGTATGGTTCCATATAGATATGGATAAGCATGACTTTGCTGTTTTTGTTGATTTTCAGCCAAATGCCGATATGATAATCTTTTCTGAGAAAATGTTCCCTATTTTCTGATTTCTGTCGTCGATCATGGTATTGTCATCGCCGTAAACTTTTTAAAATTCCGTCTTCTTCCTCAGAACTACTAGACAAGTTTAACGGAACTTGACACAGAATATTCTTTGGTAAAGGGGAATAAATAAATGCTGACTGGCATTTTTATACTAACGGTAAGGTTATTTTCTCACTGGATAGGCTACGGATTTTTGCATTTGACCGATCATGAAAAGGAATACACGGTGTGATCGGTCGGCAGGGTTGCTTACTCCTTCATGGCCCCTGATCCTACCTCTGATGTTTTTGGATGTGCGTGTTTGCTCTGCTCCCACTCTGTATTGTTTAATTGGATTTGAATACTGTTCGTAATCACAATATATTTTTATCTCAATATTTGTCTGTTTTTTTTACATATTTCATCCATACAGTATTACAGTTTAACAGATTTTTCAATATAAAAATACCAAAAAAGATCTTTTTTTCTATTTCAGGAACCCACTGGGTCTGGGAAATTGTCTGCATGTTACTAAAAAAGAAAGCCGAATACATGAAAGAAACAAAGGAGTTTTTCTTTTTGGAAGCCATACCAGACATGAGCGTAGTTCATAATCTGGCCTCTCCAAGACCACTTAACACGCATGTACCCTACAGATGGTTACCAAAGCAGCATATAGAAAATGGAGGAAAGATTGTCCATGTTCTGAGGAATCCTAAAGATGTTGCCGTATCGATGTGTCATCATTTCAACAATACTAGAGAATTTGGTGAACCTTTAGACTTCAAGACATTTTATGAGAAATTTTTCATGGGCCCAGGTAATGTTAGAGTTAAAAGAAAAGAAATAACTTTTTCACTTTAAAAAAAAATTAATAAGCATCATACTGGTTGATATTGGCCCTCTGAACAAAGGCTTAAGGTTTTAGTAAGACTTCCTCTATTTTTAATTACTGGGGAAAAACCTTCTTAAACAGCTTGACAAACACACTAACATGTTCAAATGCCAATCCGTCGACAAATATTTCTAAATTGGTCTCACTGACATTGACAAACTAAAACAAACTGGTCGCTCCTAAAATTCAATTTACTTTTTGATCATAATTTGAACCAAAAAATGGAACAATTTCTTAAACGAAGTAAGTCATTGAAAAACAAGTCGACAAAGCAATAATACCGGTATCTGCATTCTCGTTTAAAGTCATCCTTTTGTAAGTTGAATGGTTGATACAACGGCCTTGTCAGCAAATACAATTAATCATTGAGTCAAATTCAATCTGACTTTTTCCATACTGATTGTAAGGTCATTTTTTACCCGCTGAGTTGTCCAGGGTTTTTTCCTTTATATCCCGATCATTACAAGGAGCATACGGCGGGTGTAACCGGTTCCCTTCTACATGGTACCTGATCCCACCTCTAATGTTTTGGAGGTCCGTGTTTTTAAGGCTCATATTTTATCATGTTTAAGGTTTCATCCAAGGTCAACATATCCAAAAAAAATTATTTTTACAATAGCTCCAAAACCATGTAGTTTATAAAATTGAAACTTTTTTTTATCATTGATTTACAGATAGATAGTACCACTTGATAACACATACTGAGTAAAATTTTTTATAGGGAGAAATTCTTTTAGATATGCCCATATTTTTTGTAAAAAAAAAATACATTTGATTAATTCCGTATGTTTAGTGAAATCCTTGCAGAAAAAGTATATACTTACCAATGAAGGGCAAGTTGGACTTCGATAGCCTCTAGAAAGTTGTGTTCCCTTTTTTGTCCAAATGTTAAGACTTGAAACCAAAAGTACATTGCAAATTGCGGATTTTATAGGGTCATGTGTTTATACATGTCATGCTTTTAATAAGAGTTTTTCAAAGACTATTCACGTTCAACTTGTCCTTCATTGATAAACATATTTTTCTGCAATAAAGGTTTTATCTAAAAGTACAAAATTAAGCAGGTGCAATATTTTTTTTTAAATATGCATTTTTTATACATGCATATTTTTTCTTGATAAATATGTGTTTTAAGTATTTGTTTTCAATTGATACTTTCTAACTGGTAAATAATGATATATTTATAAACTTTAAAAGTTTAAACTTTGAACCTCAAATTGTTTTAGAGCTGTTATTGTAAAAATAATTCTTTGGACATGTTTGATGAAACCTTGACTTTTCAACTCGAGTACTGTTAATTTTCTCCATATATTTTATTTTATTAAGTGTACGATTCTTAGAATTAGTTATGCATTAAATTAAAAAAGATGAGAAATGCTTGTATGTGCTTGTATTTAATCAACGGATGTGGTTTCAATTGATCAATAATGAAAAAGAAACGTATATTTTTCTTTCAGTTCAGTTATTTGGAGGCTGGTTTTCATATGAGAAGGAATTTGAAGAAGCGGAAGCAAAGGACACAGGTTCCGCTATTTTCACATTGCATTATGAAAGTTTGAAAAAGGTAATATAACAATGATATTTTTGTTTTACTTTAAGTAGTAAAGTTCGTTTTGAGAAAATTAATTAAAGAAAAAGAAAAATTAAAAAGAAAAAATCAAATCGCAAATATTAAATCCGAAGAAATACATGTGTACATTTTGAATGATAAAAAAGCTGTTTTCAGGGATTTTAAGGTTCATAAATCCCCAGCTCAATCATATAAAATATTTCGGTAACTCTTACGATTTTCCAAAAGAAACGGATTTGTTAAATAAGATAAAAACAATTAAAGCATACCTTGCGGGGCACAATTGGACAAAAAGACACTTCAACTCGATAAGTTTTAAAAGGACAAATAGACTTTTATTTCATTAAGAGTTATCTTTCTTATCAGAGTATCGATGAACCTTAATGGACAGTTCTTTAACCCCCCCCCCCCCTTCCCCTCACTCCATGAGGCTGGTTTCATTTGTTATTTTGGGGATGGATGAAAGATAGAATACTAGTATCAATATGGTAATAGGTCTTTGATTTCTTAATAATCCGAATCATATAACCAGGCACTTTATATTAACTGATTTAATATGACTTTTATATTAATTTCTTTTTAGAATCCAGTACAGGAAACCAAAAAGCTAGCTAAATTTTTAAACGTTGACGTGAACGATGAACTTATAGCTGAAATAGTGGACAAATGTAGCTTTAAAAAGCTGAAAGAAGCTAATGACACAATGAAAGACATTATAAAGATAATTCCAGAGGAAATGAAACATGAAGGAAAAGCTAAGGAGATTATGTCAAAGTTGTATCGTAAGGGTGAGTCATAAAATTAAATCACATAGCGAAAGACACACAAAGTAAATGAAACATAGAAAAAACGCATTTCTTACTACATGTACTATAATTAGAAGCATGTATCTGTATTTAGTACTGAGTAAAGGTTGAAATATGAAACTTTTCATCGGTATAGGGTGACGTCTCTATATGAGTTAATAGAATCACCAATCAATCAAAATGTTTGCAAAAAAAAATTAAGAAGAATGTTGTTTTGCCAGAAGCCTACAATGTATAGTTATTGGATCAAAGGTTTTGTCCTGAGACCAAAGCTAAGTTGATCAAGTATTGAAATGACGATATTCAAATATTATAATAAGCAACAAACTTCTACTTAAAACTAAAAATACATTATTAGTAGAATCAAAATTTTACCCTGGGTTGGGTCATTATGATCTACTTACATATAGTGTCTTAGAGAAAGGTTAGGAAAAAACTTCCCATGGCATCTCTACTAGAGTTATAAAATCAATGTCATCTTGAAAGCAATATTCTTCTTTTCATAAAAAAAACAACTCGCAAATGAACTTTTGAATTAAAATTAATATGGTTTTGAAAGAGATTATTTTTCTGGTATAAAAATGAATTTGCGATTTAAGCAATGTCACCTTCAACTTATATAAATGTGTTTTCTGTTTCAGGAGAGATTGGGGATTGGAAGAACCATTTTACTGTGGCTCTAAATGAACACTTTGATGCAATGTTCAATGAAGAAATGAAAGATTCTAAAATTCAAGTGCAATATGAATGAAATGATATGTATTAAACAAAGATAATTTTATTACTCTTTATGAACATCAAAACGCAAACTACAAAAAAATCTTTGAGCCTAGAAAAAATATCATCATTCTTGAACAATTTATCAAAGGTTAAAAAGAAAAAGACATATTTCATTCTGAACTTGAAAAAATTGTTTAAATGATGCTGGTTTCCTAATACCCGGTTTAAATGACCATTGTACATTTAGAATTGCGGAATGCATGTAGAAATCATCATCATCATCATAATAATGCATAGGTAACAGAGGTGTCGATCCAGCATATAAAAGAACAGAAGAAGGTGGGAGGAGGTTACAGTACGCCACAAGTTCCAGTGTGCCAAAACGGGGATCTAATCCATATTTTAACCTTAATTTTTAAGGGAACCCACAGTTGCTACATGCGGAAAGCATATTAAGTGAAAATCAAAATTTGCTGTGAATACCTGAGGGTAAATGCACAAAAACTAAGTGAATTACATGAAATCGTTGCCTATATGTACTTTTATATGATAGAAAAATAAATGATATTCCTTTTTGTTAGAAAAATAAATGATGTTCCTTTTTGTTATGTCCCACTGCCTTTTATTTCAAGTTCAACTGGTTGTATAGCATCGACGTAAGAATGGAAATAATTGACAATACGTCGTCGAGAAATCTAAATATCGAATTGAAGAACACAGCGTTTTCTTCTTTTAACATGTAAGATTTTGGACAAATTCTGCGTTGTATGAAAACAAAAATGGGTCCGCTAATAACGGGCGCCATTGGTACTCATAGGAATTCCAATAGATTGTTATATGACCTAAGTCTCCAAAACACACATAGATATTGTCAAACAGAAACTCCAAAATCTTTTGGTATCAACTTCAGAGAACATATGTATACAAATAGAATTTTTGTTTGCAAAATGATTTTGCAAAAGACCAATGACAAGGTTAGTACATGTAAATTAGCGAGTTCCATTTTAATTGAAAATGCAGAAATATTTTAACTATATAAAGCTATGATGAGGGCATAAACCCGGACTTTTGAAAATCACAGATATGGGAGCAAGTATTATTGTCTTGATACACACTGCCAGAACAAATGTCTTACGTGGTCCCCTTTCCGTATGCCTTTGTGTAACAACTACCCCATTCATACGATATGATTTGCATACCTCAGTATATTTTACACATAAGTAAATTTACTCCCATGTGCAATTTTGGTCGTATGAACTGATTTACTCATATGCAAATTCTGTGTAGTTGATTACATTTACACCTAGTCAGGACTAGGTGCAAATTAACTTTTGCAAACACTTTATAGCAAATTATAAGTTCATATGTGTAAATTTTGTCGTATGAACACGCAAGCAAATTTACCAGACCTGAGAAAAGGTTTGAAGAAATAAGAAATTTGGAATGTAGAAAGGACGGCATTATACTGGCTACCTATCCAAAGTCAGGTAAAGACTGTGCACTTGGTTTAAGATCTGTCACATTCAGAATACACATGGGTACCGAAACTGCACAAGCGTACGTTTTTTGCTTTGTGTAAAATATGAACACGCTTAAATAAACCAATTTTGTGTATTAGAATTACTAGATCACAGAATACACTACCTTGATTTAGAAAGTATTTAGTTATTTTGAATGAAATATTTGAAAAAGCCTTCTAAAGTCAATTGCAATATATTTCTAATATGTATAATAATGTTCAAATGGAATTGAAAGTTCACCGTATTGTTTAATTCGTACATTGGGAATTTATGCAAAGCTTAAACTTGTTATCAGAATTTTCAACGTTTTTCATGAAAGTACATTTATTAACAATTGCTGCACTGGTATACTACTTTTTATTATAATTGAAAGCAACAAAAGCATTCTATTTAGACATGCTGGCAAAAATAGGCATGTCGAGAAAATATAACACTATGAAAGATCTACAACCTTCCAAACTCATTTAAGATAATTAATATAATTTAAGGAAGTTGTTTGTTTTGTTCAAGTCCATAAAATATGAAAATGATAATTATATTGTAACAAAATAAGGCAAGCATTTTGTTTTATTTTGTATGCAAATTCTGAATATTTTCAACTATTTACTTTTCCTTTTCCGATTCTCTCTTCCTGCAAGATTTGCAAAAGTAAAGAAATAACTCAGATAAAAATATCCGAGGGCCGGTCTTTGATAATTATGATTTTTGAAAACAACAAATTAAAACTTAATTAACAACAAGCAAAAATAATTGTTCATATGCAAAACACTGCCTTCAACAGGAACGCATTGGGTTTGGGAAATCGTCTGCATGATCCTCAAAAAGAAAGCTGAATACATGAAGGAAACCAAGAATTTCTATTTTTGGAGGCTTTGGATAATGTAGTTCATAATCTTGCCTCTCCAAGACCACTGAACACGCATGTACCCTATAGGTGGTTTCCAAAGCAACATATAGAAAATGGCGGAAAAATTGTCCATGTTTGAGAAATCCTAAAGATGTTGCCGTGTCGATGTTTCAGAATAAACGCGGGTTTACTGTCTGTCTGAAAACATACGTTTTTTGCTTTGGATAAAAATTTGTCAGCTAACTCAACTCGTTTTAAATTTTTCTGTTTGAATTTTTTTTTGAAATTCGTCTGCGTGGTTAGATTGTAATCGTTATTCAAATGCGCTAATGTTGATAGAACAGATGACGCTTTTTCGATGAAATTTGAATAAAATGTCCCTTTTTGCCGGAATACGCAATTCAAAACCATAATCATAACATTAAAACGAAGCAGACGAATTTTACATTACTCGACACAATGAATGTGAAGTAAATTTAGAATCGATCTTTTAAAAAAAATCAATATGTGTTCTCGCTCAATTTATCGCAAAAGAACTTTGAAGTTTTACAATTTTTCATCAAAAGTATTATATTTTCATCACAACGTTATATTACGTTGGTGCGACGTTATTATTTTCGTATGCCTGCGTGACTCGGAAAAAAAATTGAATTAAACAACAATACACTCAAAATAAAACATGCAATTTTCCGATATCATTGCCATAGTTAACCAACAGCGTGGCATTATTTCAATGTCACGTATGGCTAGGGGAGCAGAAAAATTTTAACAATTGTACATGGATGTAAGAAAAAAAAAACATCTTACCGGAATTGCGAACATTTTCAAACATATACAGTGAAACCTGTCTAATCCGACATGCACTGGGAGACGAATTTTGTGTCGGAATAGACAGGGTGTCGGATTAGACAGTGTTCAAAACATAGAAAATAGTAACATGGGAGAGAAATTTCAAGTCGGAATTCACAGTGTGTCGGATTATTCAGGTGTCGGATTAGACAGTTTTCACTGTATATATATATATTTTTGCATCATTTTTATGTATTAATAAAATGTACCCGAAATATTGCAGTTGAATTAAAGTAGCTTTATGAACTACATTAATGTATACATTTATACTTCATAGAATGAATTAATTTTGTCTATCCCTGAATTAAAAGACTTCAGTTTTCCCTTCAGAACATCGTAAAGGCAAATCATTACTTTGCAGATATAAAATATAAGAAAACAGGTATTAATACAAGGGGCCGTTCAAAAATTACACGGACTTGTTGCACAGACAAAATATTTGACGACATAATCGGGCAAAATGTCACACATAATATAAAAGAATCTTTACTTATATGGTCTTCAAAATTTCATATCAAAATGTTGTAAATTGGTATCAATTTTGAGTGATTTTTCAGGACATATCATTGAGTCACGGAGCAGCAAAATCTTCGACGTCACAAGCATTATAAAAAAATATGTGAGCTTTCATTTTCTCAATATTTTCCCAAGAGTACCTGTACAGTTTGAGTTACCTTATCTACTCAACATCCAAACACCATTTCTTGTCGAGCTTAAAATCTATTAAACAAGTAAAGAATGTTCTATTTTAAAAAAAAAAACAAAAAAACAAAAAAAAAATTGCAGGTATTTTGAGATATAGTGTGATACTGGTGACTCTCAATTACGTTCTTTACAGTCCGGATAAATGATAATCTTCTTCCCGTCCTCCCGTGTAGCCTTTTTACAGAGGTCTTACGGTCTAAAATTTCAATTTGCTATTTGTGGACGAAAGAATACCCTCGTTTACTACATGTTTTATTATGCATATTTTGGATCTATGTTGGCGATATCTCGAGCATTACACATAATTTAACAAAAGTGTGGTGCGCCGTCAATTCGGGAGAGTTCATTTTCACAGTCTTTTTCACGGGAATCGCATCGGAAAAAAATCGCTATATTTCTGTTAGTACTTCAAATATCATGTCAGAAATCTAATTACATAATAATAAAACAATTTAAAGATACATTTGAGAAAATTGTCGAAAAATATCCCGAATTATAGAAAATTAATGAGTTACATTTTGGATTCCGCATGTTTTTGCTTCAGTTTTTTGTCGTGCTCCGTACCTCTCCATCAGCGACATTAACATACCGATAATTTTCGTAGAATTTTTTTAAAATACAGAAATTTTGCCCAAAATTTATTGGAATCTTTAAGATACATATTTCTGTGAAATTTCATAACTATATGACGTCTGTAAGAGTAAATAATAGCACAGTCTGCGTTATTTTTGAACGGCCCTCATACTATAGAAAACAAAACTATATGCTCGTGACCCCTCAATTGAAATGCCTTATCCCCCCCCCCCTCCATTTTTATGCTTGTCAAGGAATTTTTGGTTATCAATAGTACCCCCAACTGAAAAAAAAGTAGCTGTGCCCCTAACTGAAATTGCGTCTTACGGGCCTGCAACTCTTGTTTGACACTCCACTCCCAAACAAAACATCTTTATTTTGACATCTTTTCAACATATGTTCGATATCTTTATAGATACATCACATATTTAACATTAGAATTACATTTGTAGATATTATATATAATTTTTTTGATATGAGAACTGTTTAAAACTTATCCAAAGTTCGTTCTTAGGATAATTTTCAGGGGAAAAATCTTTTTTCACATTCTGTGGGAGCAATTTATTCCTCAAATGTTACATTTTTTTAATAAATATAAATTTGATGATTTATTTATGCCGTTAAAGACACTTCTTTTATTATCTAACAATGTTTTCTATGTATGCCCGTTTTACGTTGGAGGAACGTATTTAATACGAATGTATTTTTTAAAGCATATAAACACCTGCAGCTTTAACCTCATTATTATTTAGTATTTTTTCCCCATTAATATATTTCAGATGCATGTCAATACGTTGTATAGGTGGCTATGCGTTCATTAAATATATGAAGAATAACATTATAAATGAGTTTATATACTTATATATAAAATATACTTTGTACACCATTTTTAAAAGAAAAAGAAAGTAACACAAAGTAACTTTCTTTTGAAGCTCTGCGTATAGGAGGCTGGTTTTCGTACGAAAAAGAATTTGAAAAAGCAGAAGCAACGGACATACAAGGTGCAATTTTTTTAGTACACTATGAAAGTTTGACAAAAGGTATGTAAGATTTCCTCATAGTTGCAACGTGTCGGATACTAGAATCTCACACATTACAAGACCTGTTTTATCTTGTTCTATTATAAGGAATACAAATATCACTTAGGTACAAAGCCCAAAATACCCACTCACAAAAAGAACTAAAACCATGTTCTGTTGTCATCTCAAAAAGGTCATTGTTAACTTATTTGCAAGATGCATGAGATAGTGTACGTAACTTTTTGAGTCAAATGCTGACTAACGTTTTTCATACTAAATGTTAGTCCATTATTTATAATTGACGACGGATGTTTCTGTTATGTTCCGATCATGACGGCGGGTGTAACTGGTAAGCAGAGGATGCCCACTCCTCCATGGCACCTGATCCCACCTCTGTTTTGGAGGTCTGTGTTTGCTCTGCTCTTATTTTGAATTGTTTATTGGACTTTTGATCTTGAATACTGTTTGTTATCTCTATGAGTTTCATAAGAAAGATGCAATTTAAAGGTTCTTTACAAACGAAGTCTTATTGTGTTACTGCGTAAAACGTTTCAACCAATAAAGCTTAAGGCATCCAGTCAAATTAAGACATATTTTGAATAATTATGGCCGTAAACGGATGCTTTTCACGATCATAACCAATATATCAGGGTCTGAGAGGGCTTCATACAAATCCACAATCATTTATACAGAAAGAAATCCATATACATAAAATTTTAATGTTTAGTTTTACTTTGTTTTTAGGTCACACACTGTCATCTAGCTTAAATCAATTACACATGTAAATTAACTTGCAGAAATTTTCAGTTTACTTTTCAAAGACTATTTTTCATTTTCTTTTACAGAATCCAACGGATGACACACAAAGGCTAGCCAAATTTTTAAATGTAGATTTGAATGACGAAAATTATAGATGAAATAGTAGATAAATGTAGTTTCAAAAAAGATAAAGGAGGCTACTGAAGCAATGAAGGAACTTCCAAAAAATGCAAATCGCAATGACCCAGACAAGGTTAAACAAAGAATGTCGAAAATGTACAGAAAAGGTAAACAAAACTCCGTGAAGATGTTGCGATCAGATCAAAATGAGATTTCGGCATTTTAAAGTAAATGTAAAATTAATAAAAATGCACATGTTAGGCATTTACTTGAAAGATAGAAACCAAACATTAAAGTCATTATTAGAATCTCAGAAAAGGAAATTTCAAAGCAGAACATATCAAAAATATTTTTAAGGGATGATCAAATATATCCCGAATTTACAATTTTCTCCATAAATGACTTTTCATTTTATTAATGTGTGGTTTTGTTTTTTTTTTTTTTTTGGCTACTGTATATTCCTGTATAGTTATATGAAATGATGTCTTTTGCTTTCCAGGGGAGATCGGGGATTGGAAGAACCATTTTACAGTAGCTCTTAATGAACACTTCGATGCATTATTCAAAAAAGAAATGAAAGAATCTAAAATTCAATTTCAATTTGTTATATGAAATGATATATTTCTTGATGTATTTAAAGTCAAAGACATTTTGAGTGTAAAATAACATTAAAACCTTGTGAAATGTTGAATGATATTTATGTTTGTTAAGTCAATTTAAGTGCAAATCTGATAGAGACTAAAATAAAACATTTTACAGTTACTGTAGCTCTTAATGAACACTTCGATGCATTATTCAAAAAAGAAATAAAAGATTCAATTTAGCAAAAGCACGTACAAATAAAATTCAATTGCAATTTGAGTATGTAAAAAAAAAATCATTATACAGACACATCCAAAGTAAAAGTAAAAATCGCAATAACGGAAAATGCATTTCTTGAAAACATCCACGTGCAAAATCATGTAAAGTTTTTATTTTTTAAAATCCTTCTCGCTGACGACAGCCACACAATGCAAATTCAATTTGAAAATAAAATCCGTGTAAAATAACATTAAAACCTTGTGAAATGTTGAATGATATTCAATGTTTATTAAGTCAACCCGGTTAAATTGTCAAAACTAATCTGACCGAATTTTACGTTTTCCGTGGAAATATATATACTGCGGATGCGTACTCCCCGTCGGGGCCTCATCTACAGAACTCTGGCGGAAGTTTGGATGCTGCAAAGCTATAAAGTGGGCGGAGCTATTTTTGAGATCGTGTCACAAAATAAAATTATGGGGCTTTTTTTTATTATTAGACTCGTAATATGTGAAGAATGTTTGATGCAAATGTTACAGGGTTTCATCTGAGTCATTTATATTCGCACATCTTATGGTTGTTATGATGATGTTGTTTGCCGACAGAATATGTGAACTGTTTTTTGACTTACATGTTTCAGACCAAATGTTAAGAACTGTAATTGATTCTTTAAAATTTTAACTACGGATTTCAGCGCGGATCTAGCATTTTTTAGGGGGGGAATGAGAGTTGTTATACATGTAACATTCGTTCAACAATTACTTAATAGAAATGCTTAAGAGAAGGTTTATTATTTAAGGAGGGGAAGGGGCAAGGAAAAGAACTCGATTGCCTGAAATTGACAAAAGGAGAAAATAATTTTCCGAACCCGAATCCTAATTCTTTGGAAGTGGATCAATTTTTTCACAACCTATTTTTCTTTATATATTACTACATTTAGCCTTTCATTTATCAAAATCTATGTTAAATTACCAAATATTTTGGACTCTCTTCTCTCTTTTTTTTTTTCTTGAATCAAAAGGGGAGGGGTTAAAAACCCCGTAACCCCTCCTTATCCCCCGCTGTGATTATTACCGTTACGAGGGCTCATGCTAGGTTTGTCCAGTCAAAAGGGGATAGTTAATTATTTCACCTTGACACCTGATCGTAATTCTGGTGTTTCCAAAATAATATATTTAAACACAATATCTGGTGATAAACAATAAAGCACTGATATCATACCTTAATATGATAATACAGGAAAAAAACTGATATCGAAACAGATTTATAAAGAAACCATAACAATTAAGAAATTACTAGAAATAACTTGTAGGTATGGATGTCTAAGATTGCGATTATTCACATTACAATTGTTCATTAAACTTTGTATAGAACTTAAAACTGTGTTAGCACACCACGTGTTTTCTGTAACAATAAACAAGTTTCTTATCACACATTGTAATTCAGGAGAGTTTAATACAAATATCTGCGGATGATATACACATAGCAAATAATATAAGGTAAGGATTATAATTATACACACAGACAAACACACGGTAAGGTACTTTCAATTATTATAGGGTATATATACACACAGCTTTTTCTCTTATCCGCAACTTATAACACTTTCACAGATTCTTTATTACATATTGCCATTGTGCACCTCCTATTTTACTTTTTTATTCGACACGTATTTTAGGTTTCCCAGAGCAAAACATGGACATTGCCATTTTTTGTTTACCTATGACGTCACATAATAGAAGCTTCTGGATAACACTTCATAAGACGAGTTATTCCTCTGTACACATTACCGTAAAACAATATAAAGCAACACATCGACATTATGGGAGGCGGGGGGTATCATTTAGTGAGCTCATTGCTCACAGTACCTCTAGTTTTAGGTTGATATCTGGAACATGTTGAAACGAATGATAAAATGTAAATAAAGTGATAAATTGTAATGCCTCCGGTTAAAAAGTAGAACTTTATTCAGTATATTAGCTTTCAGGTACATACTACATCTTACACCCGACAATGGAGAATAATGGCGAAGAAAAACCGTTCCCCGTGTTTGACGGGATGAGTGTACCGCCTTTTCCTCATTTAATCGAAGATGCTGAAAAAAGGTTTAAAGAAATAAGAAATTTAGAATGTAGAAAGGATGACATCATACTGGCTACCTATCCAAAGTCAGGTAAAGACTGCACTTGCTTTATGTCTGTCACATGCAGTGTTTCCAATACACATTAATATCAAAAACTGCGCAAACGTATAAGTTGTTTGCTTTGTGTAAAATATGAACAAATAGATACAAATTTGTGCTTTTTTCCTTTTATATTCCTGTGTATTAGAAACACTATACATCATAGCATATACTACCCTGATAAGAGCGTATTTACATGTAGATAATTTGAATTATGAAGTCTCTGAAGAGCCTACTGTAAACGTACTTTTTTCCACAGGGTCATAATTCCGCGGAATCTCTTTTTCTGTTTAATCCGCTGGTAGTTAATTACGCGGATATCTTAAGATTCTCCTTATATGCCTTATATTTGAATTAAGTTCGATGGGACTAATAAAAGTACTTCTACAGTATTTTAATTGCGTTACTTCAGCTTTTAGTTTATAACAATTTTTATACCCCCGCTTGAAAAGTGGGAGGGTATATAGTAATCGGTTTGTCCGTGTGTCTGTCCGTCCGTCCGTCTGTTACGCTTTGGGGTATCCATCGCTTATCCGCAACTCCTCTCATACCACTGAAGGAAATTTAATGAAACTTTCACAGAATCTTTATTACATATTGCCATTGTGCACCTTCTATTTTACTTTTTGATCTGATATATATTTTGAATTTTCCAGTGCAAAACATGGATACTGCCATTATATTCATATGGGGGGGCGGGGGGTATTATTTAGTGAGCTTATTGCTCACAGTACCTCTTGTTATGGAATTGAAATTGTAACAGTATATTCGTTGAGAATTTATGCCAAATCAGAAAATACATGTAACTTAAATCTTTGTTAATTTTTTGTAAAGTTATTCATTTAAGTAATATAAAAGAAAGATTATTGCACTAGCAAACTTTTTTTTATAATAGAAAGCAACAAAATATTCTAAGAAGTCATACATGTACATGCTAGCAGAAATATGCTTGTCGAGATAAAAAAAAAATACTTATGATCGACAGACTGTCTACATATTGTTATACATCCACAGCTTTTGAATTTAATCGTATAAAGTTGAGTAATTTTTCTGTTAAAATGCATGACATGTGGACATATTACAGAAACAAAAAGATACATTAAGTTTTTTTTTTGTTCTTTAAGGAATGAAGCTTATTTCAACTTTTGTTATACGATATAACATAGCTTGGGGCAGTTTACGCTTTATAAACCACGAAGCCGGAAAAAGGCTTCAAATGTCGCATATTTTAAAAGTTGACGTCAAGCGGAGTAACACGTTTATAACGTTACTCATTGTGACGTAGGCAAGTTATGTTATAAAAAATGGATAAAACCGTTTAACCAATCCAATGGCGTGTTACAACTAAAATTAAATTATTAAGCTATAATCAAAATTCGCTCAAATTACTATTTTACTTTCAGGTTCTTACTCTTCTCTTCTCTCTTGTACTGCCCCTTATAGATTACACATATAATTATTAACAAAGATAATTAAATCATATTATTGAAAGCAACAAAATAAAAGAAATTAATATCAAACAAAATCAAATTAAAAAAAAAACAAACAACATTATTTTAACAGGAACGCACTGGATATGGGAAATCGTCTGCATGATCCTCAAAAAGAAAGCCGAATACATGAAAGAAACCAAAGAATTTCAGTTTTTGGAAGCTCTACCGGACATGAGCATAGTTAATAATCTTGCCTCTCCAAGACCACTGAACACGCATGTACCTTACAGGTGGTTACCAAAGCAGCATATAGAAAATGGCGGAAAGATTGTCCATGTTCTGAGAAATCCTAAAGATGTTGCCGTGTCGATGTATTATCATATTAAAAGATTGCATGGGGGTTCAATGGACTTCAACACATTCTATGAAAAGATATTCGTAGGTCCAGGTAATATTTGTTAATTAGTTTTGTAGTGACAGGGTTTTTTAACATCACTCTCATACATTTCCTTTATGACGTTATATCGTGTTACGTTATATCGTTTTGAGAGTACATGTATATCCTGCTGTTGTAATGTAACGACAGAATGAAATACTTTCAGTAAAAGGGAGAAAAAAGGTTCTATCTTGTCTCTTAAAAATAAATGTACGTAATCTCTAACTTTTTTACTTGTCAGACCTCGTGAACTTAAGTTGCTCGAAGTGTTTCGAAAGAACGATAACTCCGTATGGACCAAGTAATGATTGTCAAATGACTCTTAGTAGGTACAAATAATATACCCCCTTCACGTGACAGACTTCAACTAATCGATAGCCTGCCTTTCATCGATAAATCAACAGAATGGATAGAAATACAGAAATTCCATCGAAATATTATTGGTACATATTCATTACAGTCTGAAGTATATTTATTCTAATTATTTTCGCGCCTTTCATGTTTTTCAACCGATCACGGTACCTAGTTCAGTTGGTAGAGTGTTCGATCCATGATCTGTAGGTCGTGAGTTCGAATCTCGGCCACAACTGACCAGATTCGATCAAAAAAGGGTAACAACTGCATGCTCCTTCGCCTTCTCTGCATTCTGAAGTGAAAGTTGCGGGTCCTTCGGACGAGACTTTAAAAACGAGGCCCTGTGTCACGACAGGCGTTGGCAAGATAAAGATCCCTCACTGCTCAATCAGTCAATGGCCCTGAATATTGAGTAAAGGTCAAAATTTGAAGCCCTTCACTGGTATATGATGAAATCTCAATATATATGAGTAAAAAATTCTCTATTGGGAGTAAAAGAAAATTCATCAATCAAACATGTATTTCATGTTTGTATCCTTTATTATTCGGCATCCATAAACTTCATTGGGTACAATTAACGGAGCCAAAAAAAAAAAAAATCTAACTTAAAGGCGAATAGGTCACATGCAATCCAGCATTTAAATAAATGTTTGAAAATTGATATGAAATCATTTCAAGATTTATTACTTTTTTACTTAATAACTTTCACAGAAATTTAAATGCCCTTGAGCTTAAAAATAGTATAAAATGTGTAAAGCAACTTTAATAATCAGCATGATGTTTCATGGCTTTATTTTTTCCCCCATTTCTTCATATGTTAATTTCCTGAAATCGGTGTCTATTTTTCGGTGGATAAATTAAATTCAATCATATTTAAGAATTCTTTTTACTGTAAACAAATAAAAACCTTAAGAAAAAATTTAAATTATGCAACATCTTTGATTTTTTAAAAAGTCGTTATTACTTTTTCTTTTAAAGTTCAGCATATGGGAGGTTGGTTTTCGTACGAAAAAGAATTTGAAAGAGCAGAAGCGGCGGACAAACAAGGTGCAATTTTTACAGTGCACTATGAAAGTATGAAAAAGGTTTGTAAAATTTTCTTTTTAGATGCATAAAAAGCCTGACAAAATGAAGTGTGAAAAGTATATATGATTCGTGTCCTAAATTTCGACCCCTACCGAGCTTCCATACTAGGCACTTCCGGAAAATATGGCAACATGTCCTCTATCATCATGAAAAAATCAGCTTCCTAGCTTGAGTCGTTTTTGAGTTCCATCACAGGCATGGAGGTCCTCAAAATTTCGATCAAAGGGCGATAACTTCCGACCGGAAGTGAATTTCAAAAAAATTAAAAAAAAAAAACGTTTAAGGTTTAGATAAAGATATACCTTCTCCGAAATTTTCAAGTAAATCGGATGCAAAAGCAATGTGTCAGAAAGCCTGACATAAGCCTGACATAATAAAACTTCCCTTGCTCTGTCATTAGTGAGTTCAAATTTGAAGTAGATACATGGGCTAAGATAAAAAGGCACTGATGGATGAGGTGTTCACACTTTTCATATAAAAAGGACTCTGTTTGCCACTTAAAGTTTAAAATTTCCAAAAGATGCTGTGCTGCAAATTTAGGCTCGTTTTTTCATATTCTAAGAACGTTTAAATTCTGAGCGTGAAACAGTTTTCGTGCAGTGTATTTACTTAAAATTTCCATTAACAGCAATTGATAACAAATTGACCTAGGTTAACAAAAGAGCTGTAACCCACTCGTCCTGGACGATTAAAAAGATCATGGAATAGTTGATCTTCCAATTAAGAATAAATTTGATGTAGGATTAACTTTAAAATAATGTTTGTTTGCTCTCCCCCGACTCGAGATGAACAATATAGGTCGGTGCATTATTTAAAAAAAATTCAAATCAATGCTGAATTTTCAAAATCTATTTTCCGGAATGCATTACAAATAATTATCTCGAGCTCGTGCATGTTTTGAGTTGGATCATTCTGAAGCCATTCGGTCGGTAGAGGACAACCAAAAGAATTTGAAGATTTCCTTATTTATTTTTTTTCTGCTAATATCCGGTGACAAGATCACAGACCACATAACACAGAGTATTTCCATATTCAAAAGGACAGTATAAGAATCGGAATTAATAATATTAATATTATATCAGGCATAATTTGAAGTACAGGTGGCACAAATTACCTTTTGTGTATATTGTAAATTGCTTTAAAAAACTTTAGAACTATTATCGAGAAAATAACATCGATTAACAACAATGTCAATTCAAACTAAGCATTATTAATATGTAAATACCGTAGGTATTTCAACACACTATTAAAGTAATAATCATAAGGAGTTTATCTGCCGAGATCAGCTAACTAAAATTCAAAAATTACATTTTCTATTATTTCATTCTTACTAGTATTTTGTTTTATTACTTAATATAAAGATGGGAAATATCTGTAAATTACAAAACTTAAATCAATCGCGTTTCAAAGATTTAAAACAATAACAGATTTATTTATCGACTACACAAAAAGTAATAGATAAAGTTTAAAGCCAACTAATGATTGATTGATTGTATACTGTTTAATGTCCCTCTCCAGAATATTTCACTGATATGGAGACGTCACCATTGCCGGTGAAGGGCTGCAAACAGGGATATTATATTCAAAGAGTCCAAATGACCATGTGAATATTATACCTTAAGGTTGTCTAAATTGTCATACATGTACATACATCTATGGAGGAGGCAATTACTGTATTATCATGTGATTTAATGACACAAATTAGTTAAGCAGTTGTATTTTTCTTGATTGTTTCCGTCTCTATATGAGTGAAAAATTCTCAAGGGACGTTAAACAATGTAGAATTAATCAATCTTGATTATTAAAATATGTTGAAATCAAAGACAAACAAAATTAGAAAAATACTGTTAAAATAAACAAACTGTTTTGTTGTCTTTTGTCTATTTAGTTTCGGAGATATAAAAGAGGGTTATGATGACTGGGCCTAATTACTACGGAAATCACATCACACAAAAATCACAGCTCTTATTTTCTTATTATGCACATACACCACTAAATGTACATGTACAATATATATATTTGTGCTTTAAGTTGATTGCTTTAAAAAATATATTTTAAAAAAAACCATTCCGATACAATTGTACAATACAAATTGTACATGTAGCATAAATCAAGAAATCCACATGAATACAATTTCAGTTCTCTTAGTTTTAATCAAAAAACTAATTCTTTTTTCATTTACAGAATCCAACAGATGAAACCAAAAGACTAGCCAACTTTTTAAATGTGGATTTGACTGACGAAGTAATAGATGAAATAGTAGATAAATGTAGCTTCAGAAAATTAAAAGAAGCCACTGAGTCAGTGAAAGACCTTCCAAAATTTTCAAATAGATCTCCTGACAAGATGAAGCAACTGATGACGAAAATGTATAGAAAAGGTAAGCATAAACTTGTAAAGAATGTTTATGTTGAGATACGATGAGGGATTGTACTCCAAAAATTTGCAGAGAAGATATCAAAGGTGCATAGACACAGATTTGAAGTTAATATTTTCTGTATGATATCACGACTTATATATTGTAACAGCATTTCACATGAAAATATATTTAAAATCTTATTTCATCTTAAAGTTATTGAAACTTTATATTTTTGGATGGGTTTGATTGACACATCCTTGTACTTTCACAAATTTAAATTTTATTCTTAATATTAAGGCAAATTCGTTGTGTGTTAATGAAAAATAACAAAGCTTTAATCCAGAAAAATAATAATATTCAGTGTAGAAATGTACGAGAGCAAAACCCTTTTTGCGGGTATTGTCATTTCGCGAGAAGTGCTATGTACATATTTTAATAATTTAAACACACCCGTTAAACATACAGTTTTTGTAAACAGGACACGGACCCTGTTATTGTTAATGTTTACGATTCACCGGGCGTTCAATTTTTAAAGTCTGCTCACCAAAACTCCACGGACTGACAATATACTGTGTGTATGTTTTGCTTTCGAACATTTTGACTCTGAATTTTTTGGATTATAGTTTTAATATTTTTCATTAATACACAGTGCTACAAGATCGCCACTTTTCCCAAGTATTAAAAATAAAATTAAAATTTGTGAAAGTGCAAGGATGTTTCAATCACACCCATCCAAAAGTTTTAATTTCAATAACTTTAAGATGAAATAAGATCTTTAATTTATTTTCGTGTGAACTGCTATTACAAGTGGTGATATAAGTCGTGATATTATACAGAAAGTATTAACTTCATATCTGTTTCTATGCACCTTTATAACAAAAATTTGAAAATACAAATATCTAGATTTTATTTGAAAGGTGAACAAAACATAACTAGAGTCCAAGAAAAAAGTAAAGCAAAACATGCCATCAATTTAAAAAGTAGAAGAAAAGACCATGCGTATAAAATAAAAAACATTTCTTTGTACAAGAAATACACACTATCAACATAAGAATCTTAGATCAAAACCATTTTAGAGAAGTAAAAATACGGTCTTTTAAAGTGATAAGGTTAACCAGTCGTTATTCGATTAATCTATTGTTCGTGATTCCTCATCAGTATGAAATCAATGGTGTTAGGGGCCCTTAGAATTAAGCCGGGAGTTGAGGGTAGGGAGTTTGTCGTTGTTTTTTTTTCAAGGGTAACTTATTAGAGCTTTGAATAAGCCTGCTCTTTTAAATGTTGAACTAAATATTTTTATCGTAAATGAGTTTCCGAACCGTACCTAGTGTAAAAGTTAGCTGTCAACTGTAAAAGTCAGCACTCCCACAAGTCCATTAGTAAAAATGATTTCTTTTCCTTTCCAGGAGAGATTGGAGATTGGAAAAACCATTTTACAGTCGCTCTCAATGAACACTTCGATGCAGTATTCAAAGAAGAAATGAAAGACTCTAAAATCAAAGTGCAATTTGAATAAACTATAATTTTCATTTGATATAATACATGTAATCATAAAAGTAATCAAAAATTTTGAAGATTGTTTCAATACAATTTACAATGTTAGATTAACATGGTAAATATGAATACCTGTCAAACCATATTGTTTTCCTTCACAGTACTTTGAAATAAATATTTTAGTAGATAAAATGAGTTATATCACAATTCTGTTAATTTCATTAGGATTTTGTCTCAACGTATTTATACGACGCATCGGTGAGTATCTACTCACTACTATTATTCAAGTATTTCAAAACTTGTGACTATTTATCATTGTCGGTATTCATTGAACTTCGTCCGTATGCAACATGGACAAATTAATGAAACCAGTTTTTCTAAAAGACAGTGAACTGCCAAAATCAAACAATGAAAGAATTACAAATTTTGGTTTATTAGATGCAGTAAGCGTAACAATAGGGGACACGGTTAAATGCGTCCAATTGGACTGTGACCTCTGGCGAATCTACTTAAATGATAAACAAAGTCGAGATAGACTTATCATTGACGGATTGATCTCAACAACCGACATGTGAGAGTGTACGAATCGAATCACTACTCAGCTGGTCTTACTGATCCAGAAGACCCAGTCCTGAAAGTTACGATATGCGGCATTCCACTTTCCGTGGACGACTCCGCTATACATGATATGCTCAAAAAGCTAGGAGTGCATCCAAAAAGCGAAATTAAATTCGAAAAGATTAGAAATCCTACAACAAATAAAATGACCAACGTTCTAAATGGCAACAGATTCCTGTATATAGAACCCCTTGAGCAAAACAAGGCCCTGCCTCGTTTCAGCTACTGCGCGGGTCTTCGATGTAAGATCTTCCATCGAGGGCAAAATTTCGAAAAACCTCCAATAACCTGCACAAATTGCTGGGAAACTGGTCATTCATTCAAATTGTGCCAAAACAATCCGCGTTCTGCTTGCAAGGACGCAGGCCATAAACCCGGATCCGATCTCTGTCCGCAATACATCGAAGACAACTCTAAGGAAGTTGAGGCGTTCGATGGTCAGGAAAATGTAATATCAAATTTCTTTGCGTGTAATCTCAAAGTGTTCGGGGAAACTTTTAATTCCGCCGAGCAAGCATTCCAGGTCACCAAGGCAGTGCGAGCAGGCCATCTTATGGCAGCGGAGAAGATCCGAGCAGCAAAATCTGCACTGGAATGCAAACAGATCGGTAAATCCGTCCAAGCATCCGGATCCTGGCAACAGGACGCGCCTAAGGTCATGGAGGAAATTGTGCTAGAAAAAGTGAAACAAGTTTCTGAGATGAAAAAGCAAATTATACAGGTATATACAAACGAAAAGATCTTTGCACATTCCGTGTACGACCAGTACTGGGGAACCGGTCTCAACTCTACGCAAACGTTGCACACCAAACCCAAGGCATGGCCGGGGCAAAACGTCATGGGTAAGATACTACAACATGTTGCGGAATCCCTTCAGCAAAACACCCAACGCACGGGATCGCGGACCAGGAAAGCGAATGCCAACAAATCCGAGCAGAAAGATCTGGATGGGTTCGTAAAGAAGTCCGGTAAATCAAATAAATAAAATTTAATTATTAACCCAAAACGCGACCAAGACTATGGCTTGTGTTAAGTTTTTATCTCTGAACTGTAGAGGGTTAAATAGTTATGATAAAAGAGTAATTTTGTATGAATGGTTAAACTGTCAAAAATGTGATATTATTTTATTACAAGAAACACATTTTGTTGATAAAAAGCAGAGTATCTATGATTCGAGGTGGCATGGTTCTGCTTTTCATAATTTTTCTGAATCTTCGCATAGTAAAGGTGTGTCAATATTTTTTCGTAAAAATTTTACATTCAAAACCCTAAATTTACACAAGTCTGCTGATAGTCGAATCTTATTAATGAATATTGAACATGACAACAATATTATTACTTTGGTCAATGTTTATGCCCCAAATTTAGAAACCCAACGAATTAGCTTCTTTAAAAAGGTTACTAAGTGGATATCACAATATGCTATGAATGAAGAAAATCTGATATTTGCTGGAGATTTCAATTGTAATGTAAAGAATGAAAAAGATAAAAGTGGGAAAATAGTAAGGGAGATAATGCAAAGATTTGATTTATTTGATATGTGGTCGGAACTAAAACCTGATAAAAAATTGTTTAACGTGGTGTGATGGAAATGGGTCACCCAAAAGTTAAATTGATTATGTCTTAGCAAGCAAACATTTTTGTTACGCTCCAGAGAACATTTTTTTACGCAAAGCCCCAAATGTTAATACTTGTAGAATGAGTGATCATATGTCAATAGTTTTTAAATTTAAAATATCATGCAACACTAGAGGAAAAGGCTTTTGGAAATTAAATGTATCTATTTTGCATGATACAAATTATGTTAAAACAATAAATGACTTTTTAAATAACCTTCCAGATGAAATAGAAAATGAGGAAAATCCGCATATTCAATGGGAATTAATAAAAATACATATAAGAAATTTAAGCATTAATTTTTGTAAACAAAAAGGTAAAACGATAAGAAATAAAATCCAACTAATTGAAAAAGAAATTGAGGAGATTGAAAATAGGAATTACGCACATATTGACGTTAAAAAAAAGAGAGAACTAGAAAACGAGTTAGACGAATTATATAAATACAAAGCTAAAGGCGCACAAATCAGATCTAGAGCAAAATGGATTGACGAAGGGGAAAAAAATACGTCATATTTTCTTAGACTGGAAAATAAACACCAATCTCACAATGTAATCAACAAAGTTAACAACAATGGACAAATATACACTAAAACAGATGAAATTTTAAAACAACTTAGCTCATTTTATGACGATCTCTACTCGAGTAAACATGTTTCGGATGAATGCGTTGATAACTATTTAAGTGAAATAAATCTTGAAAGTAAAATAACAGATGAAAAAAGAGAAACAATTGAAAATTTTCCTTCTTTAAAAGAATGTGCTGAGGCAATTTACCATATGAAACAAAATAAATCCCCGGGCAGTGATGGTATACCAGTAGAATTTTACAAAATGTTTTGGAGGCACTTAAAAACATATTTTTACAATGCCCTTATTTATTCTTTTGAACTAGGTGAACTACCAAATACACAAAAATGTTCAATATTATCCCTTATTTATAAAAAAGGGTCTTTAGACAAATTAGAGAATTACATTACAAAATTACAGACCTATCAGTCTAACTAATATAGATTACAAAATCATAGCTTTTGTTTTCGCTAGAAGGCTACAAAATGTCATAGATACCGCTATAAATGAAAACCAGACAGGATATATTAAAGGTAGATTTATTGGTAATAATGCTAGACTTATCGTAGATATTCTAGAATACTGCGAAAATAATAACAAGGAAGGCATTTTACTCTTTGCTGATTTTCATAAAGCCTTCGATTCGGTTGAATGGAATTTCCTATTTAAAACTCTAGAGAAATTCAATTTTGGACCTAATTTCATAAAATGGATTCAAATATTTTATAAAAACCCCTTCTTCTATGTAAAGAACAATGGATGGTTGTCAAGAAAATGTCAAATGAAACGTGGAATTGGACAGGGATGTCCAGTATCTGCGTTACTTTTTTTATTCGTAATGGAAATACTCAATTTGAAAATAAACAATTGTAAAGATATAAAAGGTTTCAAAATTAATTCATTGGAAAAAGAAATTAAATGTGTACAACACGCCGATGATACTACGCTTCCACTGGAAGATGAATTATCATTGGAAAATGCGTTAAACATTATTTACGATTTTGGCAAGGTGTCGGGCACAATATTAAATATAACTAAAACAGAATGTATCATTTTAGGGCCTCTTAAGGAAAGATTAGCTCACCAAACACACATATGTCAGACAAAAATAAATAAAGATACTTTAAAATGTTTAGGAATATATCTTGGAACTAACAAAGAAATTTGTAATGAAAAAAATTGGATATGTAAACTAAAGGAGTTTGAAAAAATATTGGATTCATGGAGATGCCGAAAATTTACTATTTTCGGTAAATGTCAAATTGTGAACTCGCTTATTTTATCAAAAATTGTTTTCCCTGCAACGGTTTTAGACAATCCAGGCAATGATTATATCAAAAGTCTGAATAAGCTTATTTTCTCATTCCTATGGGGCAATCGAGAACGCTTTAAGCGACTTACATTAATTCGAGAAATTAAAGAGAGGGGGGGTGTAGGAGTTATTGATCCGGACACCAAAATTAAAGCTATTAAAGCAGCTTGGGTATCTAAACTTATACAAAATAAGAGCAATCTAAGTAAGCTTTTAAATGCAGTTTTAGCAACTCATAAGATGAATATCCAGTATATTGCAGAGTCAAATGTAACAAAATCTTCTGACTTCAATAGTCTGAAAGGGCTTTCGCAATTCTACAAAGAAGTTTTTACTGCCTTTAATGAATGCAAGACTTTAAATAACAATGAAACAATAGACAAAATTTTACGACAAAATATTTGGTTTAATACAAACTTTAGATACAAAGGGAAAATCTTGTATTTTCAGAACTGGTACGAAAGCGGCTTTCATTATGTGAAAGATCTTGTTAACGATACTGGTTTTAAATCGCTTAATGAAATAGCTGAAATATTAAAGTCAAAACGAAACTATCTTTGTGAATATTTGATATTTAAAAACGTTTTTTATTCTAAAATTTATGGCGATACAAGTATGGGAAAATATATTAATATCAACAAAGAGTTTCATTTTAAATTACAAGGGAAAATAGAAGATATAAGTAAAACAAAATCTAGCTTCTTTTACAAAATCTTAATATATAACAAGTCCGAAAAGCCTATCATGGAAAGTTTTTGGTAAAAGGAATTTAGCGATGTAAACCCACTGTGTTGGCGAAAAATATATGAAGAAAAAATTGTAAAAATTAATGATAAAAATATTGCCGAGTTCAATTTTAAACTACTGCACAATATGTTACCAAATAACTTGTATCTTAGTAAATGGAATAAAAATATTGAAAAATATTGTTCTCATTGTCAAGAAATAGAAAATACAAAACATATGCTTTTTGACTGTACACTTATAGAAAATATTTGGAAACGAGTGTCGGTTGTACTTAAAGTTAATATTGTTTGGAAACATCTTGTATTGGGTTTTAGTTACTATGGAAACCAAACAAGCACAGTTTTGAATAATGTTATTTCTTTCATAGCATTTAAAATTTTTAAATATAAGATGAAATGTAAAATGTTAGAAGAAGATATAACAAGGGATGGGCTTAATTTATTTTTGAAGTCATCGCTTGCTAACTTTTACCTTGTTAATCGGCATGCACAAACTATCAAATTTGATTATTGTATGCTAAAAACTCTGTCTGAAAATTTGTAAATTATTATTATTATTATTATTATTTTTTTTTATATTACAGGATTATTTTAAATTTTTTTAAGGATTAGGGGTGGGACGATTCATCACTCACTACAGGATTAGCCAGTAATCTTGTATTTCGGAGGTAAATTTATGATATGGACTCTGTGGTGTGTAAGGATTGTACCTCCGCAATTAATAATCGTGAGTGGTCCACTTCTTCATCTTATTATATGACATATAATTTCAAAGCACAAATGATTTGATATAAAAAAATTCATATATATTATAGTAAGAATGTATGAAGTAACTATGAGTACTAGTATTTTTTTTTAAAACACAATCCATATATATTACTATATGAATACCTTTAATAATATTTTTGAATCTATATATTCTTTGTATATATATACACATATGTGTTTTAAATTTCCAATCCAGGGGGCCCCTGGCACCCCAGGTGAGGAATATACTGAAGACCTCTTAGGAGGCATTGCCTCAAAACTTGATTTGTATTTTTGTTGAATAAAAACTCTGAAACAGAAAAAAAAAATTCATAAGCAGTTTTAATCATCATCTAAATGAACAGTTCATCAATCTTATTAAAGGTTAAGCTGTAATTATACAACTTGTGTTGACACTATTGCGCATTTTTTGATATGACTTATTTTCGAGATAAACAATGTAACACAAAGCTCTTGTTTGTAAAGCTCATTTGCATAAGAATTTGTACAAACAACAATATCTCCATCGTATCTCGACCTAATGTTTTATCAAGCATTTTTTCTGAAACTAAATATAGAATACGACGAAGAAAGATATTTTTGGTACATGAAAGTTATGGTAATCAAATGTAGAATGATGCTTAAAAACTCTGTTTTCTCCGGTGCCATGAAACTTCGACATTTTATGCTTATTTTTATCTTATACATGTACATATAACCTTTTTTTCGCAATGAATGGTTTTGGTAAAAGTGAGATTGAGAATGCAGAGAGGGCATCATTTTGGTGATATCATACTGATAATATTACTACTTGTATCTCCTTCTCTAACATTAATAATGCGTCTAATCAGAGTTTCTGATTTTACAATTTTTTTTATCTCTCTGCAAGCAACTATTGTTGAAACAGGATTTAATTGTTTGTGCTGTAATTGACCCTTTTTTTCTCTGCTTTTTCATGAAAATTTGCTAAAAGACTTTTTTTACTTTTAAACTGTAATATGTTTCTTTTTTCCACAAACTTATTTCAATTACGATATACTAGTATTTTAACAAGACTTGTTTTAGTTGAAACGTGTATTCGACTTACGGTGCACTAAAAAAATCTGGATAAAAGACAGAAGTCTAAAATCAAATGTGCAGCTCCGAATATTATTCTAGATATAGACCTTAATGACAAACTACAAAAAGCTTTTGTTTTTATATTTGCAAAAACCGAATACAGTAGACTCTTGAATGAAGAAAATAAAATATATTGAGGAAAAATGAAAATGGTGGTATAAAAAGCTTATAATAGCTTTTTACAATGTATGTCTTCCAAATGATCAGATGAACATGCTGTAAGCATATATAATCATCATTGACCTAGGCAAGGTTCTGAGAAATAAGTAATGTTACAGGGGATTCAAAAATTTTAAAAATCAACTTCTCGCTAATTAAATATACCGGTATTACATGTATTTCATGAACCTATCATTTGGTTGAGAGAATGAAAAAATTCAGGTTCACACCGGTTTTCAAATCCCAACACATGTAGTATTAATCTAATGTTTAATAATTGTCAAATCATAGCAATGTAATTTTCGACTGCTCAAAACCACGAGAAAAATTTTAATTTTTTTTACAAGTGTTTCGTTAAGATAAAATTCAAATTTGGTATACGAAAAAAATATTTAAAATGCTAAAAAATACTCCATGCAGAGTGAATATTAATGAATTGTTTTATAGAAACACTTAATCAAAAGTGTTTATATAATTCATGGAAATTTATCTTTATCGAACCCTTGCTGTAAAGTTTGATTAAGGGTAATCATATGTTTAATAACCCAATAAAAAATTGATTTTTTATTTCATTCATACATTAATAATAATGACTCATAAATTAGTAAGTAAATTACTAGCTTCCTCAGTCAGAGAAAGCAATTTAAATGAACACTCAATTTAAAGTTTTGGAATATAAAATAAACCGCTCTTGTTCTAGTATTTGTGAAATTTGTTTTTTCAAAGTTTTGCTAATACCTGAAAGTGAGAATATTTTAAATAAACTTTGCAGCTGTTTTATGTTCATAAAGAAATCAATCTTGCTGAAGGTGACAATACAATTAGGTGATGGTGTGATAATTATTGAAAGATCAACAGGTGAAGCCCTTCGGCCCTTATTTGATCAATGACGTCTGAAATGTTTTGGCCTTGGTAACTTGAAGGAAATTCAGTGTCAGACAGTATAACTTTATAAAAAGTTATACAACAGAAATACAAGATTAAAACGCATTAGTTCTACGCATTAATAAATGATGTCCATTGAAGAAAAACAGATTTAAATCAAATCTTAACTTCGCAAAATACACCAGATGTCACACAAACTTTAAGTATATATAATAGCAAATATGCCTTTGACTGTACAGTCGCTAGCTCTATTGCTGAAGGACTGAGCCCGAATCCAATGCCAAGTATGTACAAAGTTTTGGTTTGTATTGGTATTTCGTTGTTGGTCGTAACTTATGGCCAAAACCTTGACCGAAGAAGGAACAATGTAAACCCTACTCGTAACCACGTGCACAATAAAAACCAGATGTCCAATAGAATGACCACTCGAAGTCCTTTAGACAGAAATGATAGATTGAACAGAAATGAGCGACTTAACGACAGAATGAGACAGGAAACAACAACACTAAGCTTACTGAACTCCAGGGAACAGAGAAATCGCAACATGAACAGAAATCGAGGGATGTCCAACAGAATGACCACTCGCAGTCCCTTCGACAGAACTGATAGAATGAACAGAAATGGGCTACTTAACAACAGATTGACAACTCTTAACCCTCTGAACTCCATTGATGAAATTTCCACGGAACAGAGAGTTCGTAATCAAAACATGAACAATAATCGAGGGATGTCCAACAGAATAACCACTCGCAGTCCTTTCGACAGAACCGATAGAATGAACAGAAATGGGCGACTTAACAACAGATTGACAACTCTTAATCCACTGAACTCTATGGGTGAAGTTTCCACGGAACAGAGAAATCTTAATCGAAACATGAACAATAATCGAGGGATGTCCAACAGAATAACCACTCGCAGTCCTTTCGATAGAACCGATAGAATGAACAGAAATGGGCGACTTAACAACAGATTGACAACTCTTAACCCTCTGAACTCTATTGATGAAGTTTCCACGGAACAGAGAAATCGTAATCGAAACATGAACAATAATCGAGGGATGTCCAACAGAATAACCACTCGCAGTCCTTTCGACAGAACCGATAGAATGAACAGAAATGGGCGACTTAACAACAGATTGACAACTCTTAATCCACTGAACTCTATGAGCGAAGTTTCTACGGAACAGAGAAATCGTAATCGAAACATGAACAGTAATCGAGGAATGTCCAACAGAATAACCACTCGCAGTCCTTTCGACAGAACCGATAGAATGAACAGAAATGGGCGACTTAACAACAGATTGACAACACTTAATCCACTGAACGCTATGGGTGAAGTTTCCACGGAACAGAGAAATCGTAATCAAAATATGGACAGAAATCGAGGGATGTCCAATAGGATAACCACTAGCAGTCCTTTCGACAGAACTGATAGAATGAACAGAAATAGGCGACTTAACAACAGATTGACAACTCTTAATCCGATGAACTCTTTAGAAGAAGTTTCAAGGGAACAGGGAAATCGTAATCGGAATAACCTTGACAGAAATCGAGGTATGTCTAACAGAATGACCACTATTAGTCCTTTTGACAGAAACGATAGGTTGAACAGAAATGAACTTACCGGCAGATCAGAAAACATAATAACCACTAGAAACCCACTGCCCTCGATTGGAGATGTTTCCCTAGGACAGAGAAATCGTAATAGTAACACTAGGGAAGGATTGTTCAACGAAATGACCACTCGCCGTCCTTTTGGTAGAACTGAGAGGGTAAACTTTGAGAGAAATGTACAGACGAACATTAGGGCAACCGACGTAGTAACAACCCGTAATCCACTAGATATTTTAAATCGTGTCTAAAACACCTTAATCGGAACATATTGACAGTCAGCTTTTATAATAAAAGTCTTGAATTCTGTCAAATAAAAAAAATATCAAGTGTTATTGCTCTCTTTTTCTTTTTTTCAAATTATTTTCAATATATTTGGTTTAATTCTCACAATAAAGAATGAGTGTGCTTTAGTACGTCATTTGGAACCTTTTCGGCTACCCACTTTAATCTTTACATTACAATATATCGCTAGATTAGTATACTAGTATGGTTATTGTGCAAGCATATGCTTTTGAATATATGCCTTGAATTATTTTGTCATACATATTTCTATAATTACAGACAATGCCATTGAAAAGAACATGTATAAGCCTTAAATTCCGGAAATTTGAACGGACCACTATCGAATTTAAGGTACCCGCAAATAGGCGGAGTCATTTAAATCGCATGGATGTGAAATGTAAATAAAAGCACATATGATTTTTTTCGCAATCAGATGCTACTCTACGAATTTAAATGGTGATTAGAGAGATTGTTATAGTTTCATGGTGCACAAATAATAAATGATTTTAGTGTTTAGGGATGGGGTAGATGTATCGCCCTGCAGACCATAATGCAGAGGCCACATGAGACTCTATTTACTAATCTCACTACCAATACCAGAATTCTTTCAAAACACTCCTAACGAAAAATACACAGTAAAATAAGACACTTATAATCTTCGAACCTTATTAAAATTTGCGCAAAAATCTTCCATAGTTTGAAGTTGGAAGTACGATTAGATACTGTCCGAATAGAAACTTCAAATGACAAACAATGAAATGTTCAATGAAAGCGTTGGCGTACCGATCCGTGGAATGTCACGTGAGTAAAGTGATTATAATATTAATCTTTGACACTCGTGGACCTGTTAATTTAGTGGCTAACTTGACGGTAGTTTGGAGATTTAAAAAAAATAGATATGAGCCGCAACTTGGCCAACATTGTCCTTTGGATATGTATAAGTTTAAATTAAAATACACATTCTGTGCAAATGAGACCAACGGCCAATTTGCGAACGATGTAAACAATCTTGTTGAAAACTGGTATGCATATGAATGACAATAGAAATGTAACAAATCTGTAAGACCCCCGTCTCAAAAGCTAGTGTCGCTCGGCATTATTTAGTACTTTCATGTAATATAATATACTAAAACCTGATCTTAAGGCAGAGTTTAATACCTATGAAACATAAATTTAATGAAATTCGGGATTTTATTTTGCGCAAAACACCGGTACTCAACTCTCATTGCTTAAATGCATCATCCTTTGCGATTCACGAAACCAAGTAGTATTGGATTTTAAGACTTTGATGTCCGATATGGGCAGGCAAGTTCTTTTTAAAATAGCATCGTTATAACAGAGTTTTCGTTATTTTTGTTGACAAATCACAGCAGTACTATACTGGTGATTTCTAATATATACTGACACGCAAAAGAAACGCAACACCCTACTTTAGGGGGAAATAATAATGTAAAGTAAAGAATTTTGTATCGTAAAATTATGAATATCTTCAATTTGGTAAACATCGGTAATTTAACGGTTGAATGACTTCCATACCATAACCGGAAGTCAAGTTTGAGTCTGCTAAACAGAAATCAAAAATTGCATGTTTAACAAAACATTTTGCAATATTATGGAGTTTTAAGGGTCTTTTACTGTTTATCATAAGTAATGCAGCAATATTTCAAAAAATAAACTCTCCTTTAGTTTCCCATAACGATGCTAAGGCTACTTGAAAATGGCTTATGTACGCATTTCCATTGCTCTAGCTGGAAAATTTCAATGTAAAGGTGATGGAGAGTTCCTGATGCGAAATTTCACTACATTACGCCTCAACAGGGTCTTACGTATCATATGCATTAAGGACAGTCCTTGTACCGGAAGTCCAAGGGTGGCTACACTGCTCTATGTTAGAGAAAATTCGACCTAATCATCTGAAAAATGGGCATTTAAAAATGCCAAAGAATAATTCCTTCGCTCAGATCTCGATATTAATGAACCTATTGTTTCGTAGAAATTAAGCTGCAATTGTTGTTTAGGACAGTCTTGCAAGTTTTACTTGAATGGCTGGGAGGGGGATGTTTTAACAGTCATATTTTACTTAGTAAAGTAAACAGATAAACATTTAATATTTTTATCAAATCTCGGATGTTCTGAAAAGTGAGTTTAGCCTTACTTTATTCGCTTTTAAAAATCATAAGATAAAAAATCAAACATTTGTAGATTACTGCTTGTTGCGTTTCTTTTGCGTGTCAGTATATATACTAGTCAAAATTTCTAAGTCCCAAGGCAAGTTTTTGCTTTACATCGCTCTTATATTGAATTATTTTAACAGTATAAATTAATAAGTATAAAGGAAAAAAAGTGGCAATACAATTTTTCCTCATTAATTCATTTTATTTAAGAACTTTAACACAATATGCGGAAATGTTAAGGCACCCTAGAATTAAAAATTCACAACGTTAAATACTGCATTATCCTCCATTCAAACGAATTCACAGCAAGACAACCGTTCCTCAAAGAGTTCACACTATTTAAGTAAAATTCTTTTATTAAATGTTTTTCCATGTGGAGACTAGGTCGTCCTCTAGTTCCGCTAGATTCTGCTGCTGGAAAAGCGGTCTCACACTCCAGTCTATCTCCTTCTATACATGCTAGTTAGGGTTGAGATTAGGGTTTCAAGGGGGCTTACCAAAAGTGTCTGTGCCCTGCTGACAATAGTTACATAATGTCTCATTACATGCATACCCCACTCCTCCAGTTTGACATTGAGGGGAGGGCACTTCCGGTTCCGGTTCCATTGATTTTTCCGGATAAACTCTACGGTAATTTGTTGTGTTTGTTGAAAATGATTAGAAGGAATTCCGTTATGCTTTGTAGGTTTTTGGGCGGTAATTATAAAGGTTTTAAGTTAAATAAAGTCATACAGTGAAAGGAAACAGAACTCTCGTTAATTACGACCAGCTTGGGCCATTTCAACTTGACTTTCACATTGTTGTGTGGACATACACCGCATTTTAATCAAACTTTTTTTTTCTGTTTTTCGTAATCAATTAAAGATTGAGAACACATTGAAGTAAAAAATATGAAAAATACACCCGAAAAACACATGGAACTCTAACTTCATGCTTTTTAACAAAAACGGTCACGGTCAAGTAATTACACATTCGATTACAGTTTTTTTGGCCTTGACAGGTAGGTGTTGCAAATTAAAGGCAAAATTGTAAGCAAATAGTAAATTGATGTTTTGTTTTTGATCTTTTTGAAAAAATAAAAATGGGGACTTAGAAATTTTGACAAGTATATACAATGTACGAAAAAAAAAATGATTTGATTTTCCTATTTTATCATATATCTCAAGTTAAATTCCACACTCTTCATTTCTCAACTATTGCTTCCAAATTTTTTAAATCTCTTCAGAGGATAGATACAGAATATTTGAATCATTTTCCATCTATGTGGGTTTTTCTTCAATTTGAAACTATACTCCTGCTGGACAATTAATTTATGATGATGCAAATATAGTTATGAAAGGGGAAATTAAAACACGAAGCAAAAGATTCATGGAACACTCTCTAATTACATAAATATAATGAGTTCTTTGGAAGATTATGTCGTGCAATGGGACAAGCATGAATCGAAACATTGCACGTACTTAGTCAGAGTACCAGACGAATATTTTATTCTCGTTTATACGGTTGAAGGACAAAATGAAAACCAACAACAATTCACCATTTGTTAATTCAGAATACATCACGTCGTTTAAAACATATTATATTATTTCTTGAATGATGGTTTTCACAAAAAGGACTGAATTAAGGAGGAACAGGACCTTTAGCTTAAAAAATTCCTGTCAATGAATTTTTTTTGTATTTTTTATATCTCTAATTTAATATGTACTTAACATTTTAAAACGGTCCTGTCATTGGATTTCTTGACTTATTTAAAAGATATCGCCCCACAAATACCGCCCTGTGTAGAGTTTGTATGGAGTTTAGATACTTCATATTTACGGGCCCATAACGGAGTCCATCATGCGAATTTTTACGCACAAACGATAAATATTATAGATAACACTATATACTCAAATATTTCAGAATATTCATAGTGTTTAATCCATCTGAAAGAAATTGTTTTAATTTTATATAGTATTTGGGTGGGATAATTTCTGCATTTTTCAAGGCAGCTTCAACGACAAAAACCTCACTGGGAAAAAATTCTGTCAATAAATATTTCTAAATTTACGATTGAATGTCAGTCCTTCGTCGTAATTATTTCCTGCATAAATATCATAGGGTGAAGCTTACCTCAATTTCGCACAGGACATCGTTGAATTAGACGTAAGCATGATAAAACGCTGAACACGTTTGTATTTTCTGAGTGCGGGAAATCAATTGTGACGTCACACGAAAACATAAACATTCAAAATTATCTAAATAGAGAGAATCTCTGCTACTAAACACGAAAAAATATTAATTTTAAAAAATCTGCTTCAGAAATTTATCACGATACATTGACTGTGACCTGTTTATTATGAAATTAAACTGATCATGACGGGTGTGTGTACTTAATCTCGCTGCACTGAAAATTCAAACACTACGTCTATGACGTCACTGACGTCAAACTGCAGGGTAAAGAGAAACAAATGTGTGGATTGGGCAACTTCACAATATCTAAATGATGGCAAGATCTTTAAAAATTTTATGAATAATAATTTTTAAAATTAAACATGTTAAATGTTTAAACAACAATTTTAGAATTTAGAATAAAATTCAACAAGAACTGTTGATTTTAACAACGTTTAACATGTATATCATCACCGATTATGACGGAATATGTCTTTTTAGTCATGTGACATGTGCCCTGTCTCCCCGTAAGCACGTGCATTTTTCTTGAAATATGCACATTTTTGTATACAATTTTTCTCAGAAAATACATTTTAAAATATTAATTTTCAAGTGATACTTTCTATTTATTAATCAATGAT